ATGCACTTGTAATTACTAGCAAACAAAATCCTCCTAGGACCTGGGGTCGGAGTAATTTTCGCGACTAGGGGCTCCTGGCCTTAGTAACAAGTGCCTCGCTACTAGGAACAAGTGTTCCTCCGCCACAGCCCCAAGTCGATGTTTCCATACCTGCGTGAGCTCTCCGTGTGAAATTTCTGGAGGCAGGTTGTTCAACCCCTTCGAATTGCAGCAAGGCCTATGGGATGGACTTCTGGAGAAATGGAAGGCGACACTCTGGTGTAATGTGTGTGAAATTCCCACTCTGGTGCCATCGGTGCAGCAGTTTCCACTGCGCACTCCAGGAATTGGGTTCACAGGTCCCAAGACCAGATTAGGATGATTTGGTGCAAAGTGATGGATGATTTGCCCATCTACTGAATCTGCTAAGGTCGTGTTCCAAGTCATGTAAAGGCCGAATCCACACGCCGCGGCCTGCAACGTGCACGAGTCGTCATTGGAATTCTTCCACACCTAACTGCAAACAAATCGCCATCAACGCTCGAAACCAATCCAGCTCATGCAAACGTTTCTTTCCAAGCTGTGCCAGATTTGGACCGTCGGTGGATGACCTGAGAACCACACATCAAGACATGCCAGCGAATTGGTCACATCAAGAGAGGAACAATTTGGAAGTTTGCCCGTCTGCCGCAATCATGCCAGTATGCTGCATGTCTCACCATTTGGCTAGGAGATTGCCCCTGGCACTATGTCCACCAAAAGGGCACATGCTATTGTGGATACCGTGGCACACAATTCATCCATACAGCGTCCATGAAAAATAGTTGCAAAAGGCAAAGAAGGCCATTTTTGTGCACAAAAATGTTCGACAAGCTGCTGCTGCATCGCGCCTTTCCGAATGAAGCGACTCTCAATGGTGTCAGAGTTACATGTCGCTCCGCAATGCTGTCTGGGCCACATTGCTGCGATAGACCAAGATCCCTGGCAAGACAAAGACGACTGCAAGGATATACCATGGATTTGGCCAAGCAAAACTCCCAAGGGCCAAAGAAAGAATCAACAAAGGAAAAGCGTGGTCAACTGGCAACTTTGCACAGTCCCATATACCAACCGCCGTTGACCATCCCAACAAGGCTGCCTTTTGGCTGCAGAGCCTTGGTTACTTCCTATTGGCCCCTCCTAGTGGACGAAGAAGCAGCTCATCAAAATGCCGGAGACATCTTTCCAGCCTTTTTTCAGCGAAAAGTTCTGGAATGCGGGTATATACTTGGCAGGAAGTCTGCACAGAATGTGAAACCTTTTTGCCAGCGGCATCCTTTCCAACATGTAAGTTTGGCAACTCTCATTCAATCGGAATGCTCCGAAAACGATCTCCTCAATGAGGAAAGGATGCCCTTCAGGCACACCGCCTTTGTGCATGCGTGGCAACATCTGACCCGCAATGAGCAACCTGTGTCAAAAGAAAGGCACCGTCCTGAATCGCTGCTCGCAGCAGCTGTTGGCTTGCGCTGGGCTGCTGAAATTGCTAGGTCGTCATGTCGTTATGACAAAAGATTGTGAGACGGCTGGCAGGGTGGCGCGAAGTGAGCCACTTAGAACAACACTAAAAGAGATGGCCTCCAACCTAGTAGCAAAAGGAACCTAATAGCAATGGCCTCCAACCTAAGAGCGATGGCCTCCAACCTAGCAGCGGTGGCCTCCAACACTAAGTCAATGAATTATATTCTAGTAGGGCAAAAGCTGCACGTCAAAATTCCGTGGCTCGCAAGCTATCTTATCGAAGACCGCCACCATCGTGGCGAGGAAAGCAAGAGGGCAGCGCCTGCATTGTTGTGGATGGGTCTGAATTCCGTGAAAACGTAGTGTCTTCTAGCTGGTTCCAACTTGATTCCAACTATGATGTTCAAATGCTTAGCAGCTGGGACTATCCTATTACGGTTAGCAAAGACCTTGTTCAAGATAGTGATAATTGTTTACTGACTGTTACAGGAAATGGGACTGACCCAACTTAGCAGCGTTTGAGCAATTCGCGTCGCCTGAAGGCTGGAGCCTAAGGTTTCTCCGTAGCATCCGTGTCTTCAAGGATCCCTCCAACCTACACGAGCAGGCAAAAAGCATGGTGCAAGCATCATCATGTCCATGTTGCCTTATGTAACTTGCATTTCATCAAACAGTTTGGTGCTTTTGAAGTTCTTTGGCCAGTTGATAAGTTGACAAGGCCAATCGTTGTTCTTTGATGCAACTTCACTGAACATCATGTCACAATCTTTTGCAAAGAATATATGCATCTTGTTACTAGTAGCGGTGACCTCCAACCTAGTAGCATCTTGTTCCGGGTAGTAAGGCCAGGAGCTGTTCGTAGCGTCCTTGCTCCTAGTAGCGATTCCCTTTGTTCCTAGTAGCGTTCTTGTTCCTAGTAGCGTCCTTGTTACTACTAGTAAGGCACTTGTGACTAGAAGCGATGCACTTGTTCCTAGTACCGTTCTTGTTGCATCCCTAGCGGACGAGATTTCGGGCTCCAAAGAGGTGCCCGAAGGCAACCAACATCCCCAAGTGATGGAACTGGCCGTGATAGGACCTGACCTCACACGAGTTGTCGTGACCTGTCGCATCTCAATGACCAAACTTCAAGGCGCCAAACTGGAGCCGTCCCACGATTTGGGGGGCATCATGGCAGCCTTGCAGTAGAAAGGTGGGCTTGATTTGGGGACTTCGTGGATTGAGCGGATTGAGTTTGTGCCTGAAGTCACTAAAACTGCCAAGGTGCCCATTGTACAAACTTTCCATCCTGGATTTATTGAAGCTGCGAATCATGGCCAAATCACACGAAACCAGTGAATCCAGCTACCAAGGACTTTGCATTTCTTCATTCATTGCTTGCCACGCTAGTAGTAACAAGTGCCACGCTAGTAGTAACAGGTGCCTTACTGGTAGTAACAAGAAGCCATTAGTAACAAGTGCCACGCTCGACGTCCCGAGTTTCCGTCCTTCCACACGCTTTGCCTCTTAAGCCCTTTGGCTGTTTGCGCCACGGCATTGCCATGCTGCTTGCCATCCTGCCGCTATCCAGTTGATGAATCATGAGTTAAATAAAGCCCATGCATTTAACGTCCACAAAGCCCGTGCCACCTGCCATTGTCCGCAGTAGGACCTGCCATCTGGCCAAGTCCTGAATGAAAGGCATGGCACTTATTTCCAACAAACCACGGTGGTTTGCCTTCATTGCATTACATACGTACACACATCTCATCATTGGCATCTGATTTGGTTGCAAAGGTCTCGGATAAAAACAAGTTGATTGAAATCTGAAGTTGAAAGTTCACTCCGACTGCCGCTGAGCTACAGAGTTCCCTCTCCATGTTTCCGGCCGTCTAAGAACTCGCCGATGTATGTTCGCCCATCAGACCACCACATCTTCCCTGATGGCCCCATGGTGTTGTGTGTCCAACGGCCTGAAAAACGGGACTCCAACATACGAATCAAAGGCGAATCCAAAAATCCGTGAGCTGTCGCGACCCAAAGCCTACCAGGACTACGGGTAATGAAGTCTGGTGTCCAACCTACTAGCGATGGCCTTTAAGCTACTAGCGACCAGAACTACGGATAATGATACCAGTAGGGGCTCTTGGCCTTACTACTAGGAACAAGAACGCTGCACCCAAAGCACTTTCCTCCAGCTTTCATCACCCACCTGAATAACCACGCCCATCACTCCAGGTGTACACACCCTCCCCATGCATGTCGTTGTTGTCCTCGGTCTTTGGTTGAGGAAAAAAAAAACCGTGTAACAAAGCCAAAGAAGCCAACGGCCACAAGCCTGAGGCCGAGTCGAACTCGCCCTCATATCTGCAAAGGGTAGACCAAATAAACTGTCCGCGGCCGTGCTTTGCGCCGGCCTGCATGGTACAACATGGTACAACATGTGCAGCTATAACATGCAATGTAAAAAACAACAACTATGTGTTTCATCTTACTAGTAGTAACAAGTGCCTTACTAGTAGTAACAAGAAGCTATTCGAAATAAATCGAAGCTAAATTAAATTAACTAATACTACTAGTAAGGCACTTGTTACTAGAAGCGATGCACTTGTCATTGAACTGTTCGAAGTCCCGGTGGAAGCTTGGTTTTTGTCGGTCAGCCCATGCAACAAAGGGCCACGACGTTTGAGTGAGACGGTGGCGGTCAACCGTGTCTTCATGGACACATCGAACCATGTTGTCATCCCCTCAGCCCATTCGTTGAATCCGTCAGCCCATCCAGCCTTGAAGTCACCTTCAAAAACAGATCCGTCAGCCCATTCTTCCTTCCCGTGTCCCTCTTGCATGTCGTTCGCCTGAGCCACACAACACATACGCGATGCGTTTTCTGCTGAGCCATGCAGACTGTCAAAGGCTAAGTTTCCCAAGTTCAAGGGTTCTTCAAGCAAATGACGCTACTAGGAGCAAAGGGCATCGCTACTAGGAGCAAGGACTCTACTAGTGGCTCCTGGCCTTACTACTAGGAACAAAGAAGCTACTAGAAACAAGAATTAGAATTGTAATTCAATTTAATTTACTTGCATGAACTAGCATGAACCCAAGACCTGAGAACTAGCATGATCTCAAAAGCCTAATGTCCACCTTTGATTTATCAATGGGCCCCCCCCGCGAAAACCTCAAATAGACTTATATAAATACTCTTTTAGTATTGGTAGTATAGGCCTTGCTTTTTGGGAACTACAGGGATAGAAATTAGATTTAGAAACTAGGAATCCAGCACAGCACGAACACCGCAGGAATTGCGACAATTTGGGGTATTGTGGCTTCAAGGGGGGTACCCTTTCCAGACTGATGTTGATCAATTGTTCGCGAGTTTCGAATAAGGAATTCAAAACAGAATTTTGATGCGAAGGTTTTGGGTTTTGGTGAGTCCAATTGATGAAATCAACGGGGAAGGATGCAAGAAGGAATCCAAAGAAGGAACCAGTTAATAAGGAATTGACACGCGCTAACACTATATAGACGAAGCTAAAGGACAATTTGCTAAAGGCCATATCTATGTCCAGTGGCAAAAACATTTAGCTTTATTTAGGGTGTATTTATAATCTTGTTTTGGGACTTGCTTAGCTTTATTCAAGTTGATAAATCATAGGTTGACACTAGATGCTACTAGCCTTGCTACTAGTAGCCACTTGCGACATCTTGCTACTAGCTGTTGCTAGCTACTTACTTCTTCCTTCCTTAAAAAGAACAAGCGTTTTGATCTGAGCACAGCACCCATTGACCAGTGTATTTCGCACCCGAAGGGTAGTAGTAAACACCTTGTCCCTCCTTCTTGTCGTGCTTAAACTGGCCTTGGCATCTCGGCCAAAGAAAAGAGAGCAGGAATGAATAGAGCATTTGTTCTATATCTATTTGCATTTATCTGTTTTTCTTTAAAACTCCTTATTAGTTTTTATATCATCCTTGTCGTGCTCTTCCCCACTGCTGAGCGCAAACTGGGCTCGCGGCCAACGTACTTTGCACCATCCTTCCGAAGAGATCAAAATCATCGTTATGATTTGGAGTTTCTACAATCCTACAACCAAGCGATGGCCTACAACCTGGTTGCATTAGCCTCCAACCTACTAGCAATGGCCTCACTAATGGCCTCCAATCAGTGTTATGATGTTGAGTTCCTACAACCAATTATGAAATCACAACATATCATAATAACCACCTCTCTACGTTTCCAAATCCAGTGCCCCTTGTCGAACTTGAAATAAAGTGGCACGTCGTACTTGACGTAAAAAAGCACATTCAGCTGACTGCCACCTTGCCAGTGAGCACCCCATTGCCATGCTTCTGGCCGTTGAGCCAACCGCCCTCGTAGGTTGCATTCCCCTCCAAGACCTTGAAAGAAACTGCTCTCATCTTGGCCTCCAACCTAATAGCAATGGCCTCGAACCTAAGAGCAATGTCCTCGAAGAAAAGACATCACATCCATTTGACGGCTAACTTGAGGTCGCGTAGACTTCTAGATTGTGGCAACAGTGAAAGGAACCTCATCAACCACCATAGATGCCATAGAGACAAACCACAAAACAAAGGAGTGTTGTGACAATCTCGAAGGTACAACTAGGTGATGATCTGATCAGCCAGTCCACACACACCAACTGGCATGGCTCAAAAATAGCCTACCATCCAAAACGGATTAGCAAAAAGGACAAGAAGTAGGGTACAATGTGTAATAATGTGTAGAATCCAGCGAACCCTTGCCTCCTGTACGATCGATTGATTATTCATGCCCCTTACATGTCATGTGCTGTCCACATAACACATGCCAGAGGGAAAAAAATATTGGGCTCTTCTTGGCCTAAAACCTGCGTTGTGCTCGCAGGATTTGGTGGTTCCATGGCCAAGCGACTTGTCTCGAAGCCCCTCCACCTCCAGCATCAGCCTCACTCACCGAAGCAGCCGCCGCCTGGGCAAACATTGGAAAGCTTGATTGGGAACCACAGGTCCGAGAACAACAATATGCTGTGGTCGAAACAGGGACCTAGACCCCGTAGATACCATAGGTTTCGCTCAAAAAAAGATACTAGCAATGGCCTCGAACCTAATAGCGATGGCCTCGAACCTAATAGCGATGGCCTCCAACAAAAGAGCGCTGGCCTCCAACCAAATAGCGATGGCCTCCAACCTTTTAAGAGCGACGTCCTCCAACCAAATAGCGATGGCCTCCAACCTAAGAGCGACGTCCTCCAACCTAAGAGTGATGTCCTCCAACCTAAGAGCAATGGCCTCCAACCTAATGGCGATGGCCTCCAACCTAATAGCGATGGCCTCCAACAGAATAGCGATTGCTTCCAACCTAAGAGCGATGGGCTCCAACCTAATAGCGATGGCTTCCAACCTAACAGCGACCTCCAACCTAATAGCAATGGCTTCCAACCTAATAGCGATGGCCGCCAACCTGAGAGCGATGGCCTCCAACCAAATAGCGATGGGCTCCAACCTAATAGCGGTTGTCTCCAACCTAAGAGCGATGGCCTCCAACCTAAGAGCGATGCCTCCAACCTAAGAGCGATGCCCTCCAACCTAATAGCGATGGGCTCCAACCTAATAGCGGTTGTCTCCAACCAAATAGCGATGGCCTCCAACCTAACAGCGATGGCCTCCAACCTAACAGCAATGGACTCCAACCTAAGAGCGATGGTCTCCAACCTAAGAGCGATGGCCTCCAACCTAATAGCGA